TAAACCCAAACCCAAACCCAAACCCAAACCCAAACCCAAACCCAAACCCAAACCCAAACCCAAACCCAAACCCAAACCCAAACCCAAACCCAAACCCAAACCCAAACCCAAACCCAAACCCAAACCCAAACCCAAACCCAAACCCAAACCCAAACCCAAACCCAAACCCAAACCCAAACCCAAACCCAAACCCAAACCCAAACCCAAACCCAAACCCAAACCCAAACCCAAACCCAAACCCAAACCCAAACCCAAACCCAAACCCAAACCCAAACCCAAACCCAAACCCAAACCCAAACCCAAACCCAAACCCAAACCCAAACCCAAACCCAAACCCAAACCCAAACCCAAACCCAAACCCAAACCCAACCCCCAACTTTAACAACAGCAGAATTGAAAACTGGGAAATATAATTGATTACTAGAAGTCAATCTCATTTGTTGTGGCTCAGGCAAGTAAATGCCCAAAGCATTATGTGGATTGTCAAAATTGAAAGAACTATACATGCCATACAGTGTTGTTATACTGGTGCTTGGTAAATCGCTGTCAATAAAATTAAACAAAGCAACTTGATTTCTTTGGTTATTGCGATCTTGAGATGTGAGGAAAAACACATTCTTGGAATTATCAGCTTGTTTAACAATACCAAAATATGTATTTCCTGACCATCCATTACGCAAAACTTCATTGGTATTTGGTTGAGCTTGATCCTTATTGAATTGAATGAAACGTGATAAACCTGCATCAGAAACTAACATGTTGGAAGCATAATATGCAACAACATGAATAGGATTAGTAACACTCATGGAAAAAGGGGCTGGGTAAGCCGTTTGGTCTTTACTAACCATAATAACTCTACTACCATCAGCTATTGCCATAGTCCCATCTTGAAAGAAAGTTACACTTGTTGGTTTGATAAGTTTACAATTGGTAGCATAAATGACATTGCAATAATTATTATTCAAAGTACTGAAACTTCCAGCATAAATAGTTGCTGTACCAACATTTCTGTATGTAATTTTAACTTTCCACACAACAGCTACTCCTGTGTCTGCCACATAAATATCACCATTGAACATGGTAATACCTTTAGGTTGAGTAAATGTTGTAACCAA